AAAAAAATTCAGTTTGCAGAACTTACAAATACAGGCACATGCTCAATATGGCTCACAAGCCATAGTTTACAACTTCAGTCAGGAGAAGTGATTCTGAAATTTCAATGTACATCAGAATTTTCTGTCGTGCTTGTTAAATCAGACTGCTGGGCCCACCCTCAGAGAATTTAATTCAGTAAGTTTGAGACAGGAATTGAGAAGCTGCACCTGTAACAAGTTCCTAGGCAACCTTGATGCTGCTGGTCCAGGGATCACTCTCTGAGAACCATTTGTCTACAAAAAGAGGTGAGGAGCAGCTCATCGGCCAACTTAGAACACCTTATGCCAAGAAAAAAACACACCACATCTCTGCTAACTATCAGCTTTGCTGCATGGAAACCCACCTGGAACCACAGGAATTACAAATAGTAAACCAAGGATTTAATTAAGATTCATACACTCTGAGAATGGAATAATGTGTATGGTCACTATTGCACAGCTAGCCACCTTTACCTGGGTTATGTTAATTGAGTACTGTTGGTATAGGATGAATTGTGTTTATGTTTGTGAGAGAAAAATGATAGGTTTCATTTTTATAAATCATAAATAAGCTTTATAATATTAAAAAATGAGAAATAAAATTGCATAAAATAAAAAGGGAAAGGCTATTTTAAGCAACTGTACAGGAAGTGATACAGGACCAATGCAAGTGAAGAAAGTAATTGGGGGATCTACATTAAGAAAGAGTGCCACATGAACAAAATCAAGTATATGAGAACATTAAAATTATGAGACTGATATGCCATGGATGGAAGGGAAACTGACAATACTGACATTGCAGTTATTGAGCATGGAGTTAAGAAATGACTAAGGCAAGGAAATGTTAAACCATATGGCTATTTCAGGGTTCTTGTTTGAAAACACAGGAAGCCAATTCTGACTCATAAAGTAGAATGACAAATTATTAAAGGAATGGGGAAAAACAGAGAATCAAGTTAGTGGCCAAGCTTCTCTAAGAACCAAGTGCAAAATCATACTGCAGAACAGGTCTGGTGAAGGAATTTGTATTCTTCCCATATGACTCTTATGTGTCAAGGACTGACCCAGCACAATAATATTTCTGCAACCAGCCAAGCCATTTTAGGGTTTCTATAGTCTTTGACCTCCAGAGGCCTCCACCTTCAGCTTCATGGAAGCACGATTGGCGTGTAGTGTGTACTTCTTTGAAAATGAATAGGAGTAGCACAATCTAGGTCACAAAGCTGATGCTACCTGCCCATGAGGCTGAGAAGGTAGATTTTATAGCTCATCTTAGGGAGGTGGAATATATTAACTGAGACTTCCCCAGTCATTAGAAAGTTGTTGAAAAGATATGTAAGAATGAGAAAACAATAAATGTTCACCACAAAGTGTGTCATATTAACATATTAAACTCATTTGAAATTCACTCATTTCTGTTGCTAACTAACTCCTTTTTACAATACGTATTAGCAGAACCAGAGAATAATAGAGATGAATACAGCCTTAAAGATCATGTGGTCTAATTCTCTCATTTTATTAATGAGAACCTGATGCCCAAAATAACTGGATAATTTACCAAGTTTATACACCTAGATAGTCAAAAGCGCTCATGATTTTCAACTCAGTATCATGCAATGGTCAAGAGGCATATCTCGGACTATATCTTTATTTCATGTTAAATTTTAATCGCACTCTCAGTTAAAGTCTTTGCTTAGTTCTCAGAAAGTCATTTTGGTGGTACTGATCTGTTTCTCTCAATGTACTGATTCAATCAGTTCCTGAGAAATTAGGTATGAAACTAAATTTTATACATAGAATTCTATTTTCCTATTATCACCCATGAAAATAAACTGTAAACTGTAAGTATGTTTTTAAATGTAATGTTGTAAATTCTTTGGCTGAACTGAAAATTTCCCTTGCCAAAAGGCTAATATTCTTGCAACAAAAATCATATTTAATTATTCAAACACTACTAGAATAAATGCTAAAATATGAAAGTACCTTTTTTTTTTGGGAATGTACTTCTGATATCTTATAAAATTAGAGCCAAACTTACTCAAGTACACTGTAATAACAAGATTTCTCCATACAGCTAATATTAAAACTTAAGCCAAGAGAATACTAACAGTATAGCATGTACAGAAAATACATATATTCTTTCCTTTTTGCTTTGGAGGTACTGCAGATTGAACCCAGAGCCTCACACATGCTAGGCAAGCCCTTGACCACTGAGCTGCATTTCCAGCACTTCTTTCATTTTGAGTCAAGTTCTCACTAAGCTGCCCAGGCTAAGCTTAGAGTCACAACACAGCCCGGCTGGCCTCGAACTTTGCACTTGTCCTGCCTCAGCCTCCTCAGTAGCTGGGATTACAGGTGTGTACCACCACATATGTTCTATCAATACATATGTTCTAGCAATATTATAGTTAATAAAATTATGAGAGTTAACTTCACAACTATGGTGTGTTAAGTTGTAAAACAAGCAAAAAAGATTTTGAGAAGATGGGGAAAAAAAAGAAAAGTAAGAGAAAAGAGCAACTAAACATAAGCTATTAAATCTGAGGAGTGTATCAATGCAGAGAAAACATTCTCTAAGAGCAGAAGATGGATGGCTTTATTTAGATTTAAACACTACCTTAGAAACTACTTATCCATCATTTTCCTTCTCATAAACCCTCCCAAGAAATTACTATCATGGCTGTAAGGGGAGGTCACTAATGATAGAGAGAAGGTAAAAGAAGAAAGGAGGTGAATATTGTTGGACATACAAGAATGAATACAGAATTTTTAAACCTGTTGAAATCACCATAAGAAAGAGACTAATGTAGAAAGGAGAAAAATAGAGGGGATGAACCAATTGGGATTGTAATACATAAATATGTTGAAATGTCACAATGAAACTTCTGTGTAGCTATATTAAACAAGCAAAAATCTCTTTTTTCAAAAGCAGAGAACAGGAAGGTAAACAGGTTTTGTCAGGGGGTTGGTCCAAGTGGGAGGGTATAAGGAAAGGGTATAGGAGGACGAATATGGTGGAAATATTACGTATTTATGTATAAAAATGGAAAAATCAGACCTGCTGAAACTATTCCAGGAATGGGGGGAGGGAGAATAAAGGAGAATAATGGAAGGGGTGACTTCAACTATAGTATATTGCAAGAACTTCAGTAAATGTCACAAAGTACCCCAGTACGACAATAATATGAAAAAAGAATTAAAATAGCTGCAACAACAAAAAGCAATTATTATCCCGCTTGGCAAAAAATATTATAGAATCAGTAACTATAAGTTAGCACATATATTAATTGGTGAATACAGAAATTACTTAGTTTGAGCAGAGAAAGACCATATTATTTCTGCAGCTTCATTTTCTTTGGGCAATGAATACAATTAATATGGAACTGGGAACAGATGATTCAAGGTAAATAAACAATATAAAATGCATACCTCTTCATGATACGGTCGCTCTTCTAACTCAAGTCAGGTGTTTCTATACAAGGTTATACTTTCCATAGAAAAGCTAGTGATCACTAAGACCAAATAATGAAGTTTTAAAATAATATGAATACTTACAGTTTCAATTTTATGAAAAATTCATACTCCCCCTACTGTACTAGAAACTACTGCCTGCATTTTATTTCTCTCACTCCTCTTATAAACTGCTGATATCACTTAAAAAGGCACTTCCACAAAATGGAAGTTTAAAAATATCAAGTTATCAATTCTACCAATAAACATTAAATCTTATCCTGCAAGTCCATAAGGATATACTATATTTACCATAACCTTTTTGTTTTTAAAGATGCTGAAACCACATAGTTAAAATGGTACGATTTGACTCTGAGTGAAGGCCCCACAAGATCAGATGCTGCCTGGTATAAATCAAGTAAAGACCTTAGCATAGATGTATGATTACACATTTATATGCTTTAAAACAAGACTAAAACATTATAAAAGCAAACCTAAGTATTATTCCTCTATTCTAAAATTTAAATCTATTCAAAAATCTATGTATTTACATAACCATAGCCTTTTTATTGAATATAGCAAAAGGAATAACTAATAATTTACATGTATAGCCCATTATAGATATTCTCATAATCTAAACAACAATATATCTTCCTGGTTTAAATAAATAGTGCAGACATTTCTCTTGTCATCTACAATGCCTTGTGGGAATTTTGTTAAAAATATGGAGAGAGAGATATAAACGATTACAATTTGGAAAAATAAAATTTAGAAAACTACAGGTCCTAAGCATAAGTATTATCCCGGAAATACTTTAACATCTTCTTTTAGAAAGGGTGGAAGGGCAGCTGGACATGGTGTTGCATGCTTGTAATCCCAGCACACTGGAGGCGGAGGCAGGACCATTGTAAACTCCAGGCTAGCCCGGGCTGCAGTGAGACTCTGTCTCAACCCTACCCACAATCAAAAAAGAAAAACCAGAAAACAGAAAGCGCCTGACTAGCAAGCACAAGGCCAAGTTCACTCTGAAGTACGGAAAAAAAAAAAAAAAAGGTGGAAAGCATAATGGTGTAAGTATTTTTTTGAACTTTAAAAACTCATTTTATGATAGAGTGAAAGATAATCAATCCTGACTTTGTCTAGAAGACCAAATAATTTTTTCAATACAGCAAATTAGGGGGATAGATAGCTCTTAATACTAGCTCAGGTTACCTAGTATTAACCTGAAAAGAAAATGATAAATTCTATAAGGAGTTCAGATGATGTAATCAACCATTTAATACACAGACAACAAAGGAACAAACATGTAAGACCCTGGACTAGAACTCTGTGAAGGATAAAATATGTATTATCTTCAAGGGTAACTTTTAAAGAAGAGATTACACTACCTATTCATTTTGTATTTTGTAAAGGTATGATCACCATGTAAATAACAGACTGAGAAAGTTGACTTGATTACAGATTTTTTTGCACTATGTGTTTTATGTACCATGAACATAAACTGTATCCAGGTTATTTGATGAAATACTCACAGAATGATTGTAAGAAGGTTCCAGTATCACAGGCAATGACATTTTCCCTTGAAGATTCAATTTTGTTAAATAAAATATCTTTTCCCCCACAATCTTTTCTTTTTTCATGCGATGTACACCATACAGTCTAAACCGCACTGCATAATTTCCAATCATCTCAGACTCAACATGATTAAACTTGAATGTTTCTGTGAAGACAGGGCAAGGTCCTCTCTGAATGCTGGTTTTTGCTCTCTGTTTCTTTATAGGTAGAAGAACAAGGTGTACTTGCCATGAGTTGCCACCTGTCCTGTTATATGTTGGGATGTCTGTGACGGCTGTCACTGTTACCAGAAGCTTCTGTTCTTGTGAGTCATAGTCAAAAGTCACATCCAGTGTGCCATATTTAGCTTCTGGCTCAGGATCAAAAGGTTTAGGAAGCTGTGAAGAGGATCCTTGAGCTGACATATCCTAAGAAAAGCAAATTTAAATGTTTTCAGTTTTTAACTCTATTATTTAATCTAGTATGTAAATAAATGCCTGATATTTCTTTAGAGGAGTATGCTGCAAAAACTATTTTCATTTGATGTCACAAAGATAGTATAATATTCAACAGTCAATTACAATCAAGAGCTAACCCTGTAGGGCCAGAGTGGTGTAAGCAGTAAGTTAAACTAGAAACTTCTTATAAAAAGATGTATTTAGAATGTAATATTCACTATCACAATTTTGAGAAAGTTAGATGTTTTTATAAATAAGAACTTAAAATATATTTTAGTGTGTATCTCTATTCCTTTAGTACTAAAGAAGCTACTAAATTTTACTTCTGACATAAAACAATATGACTGGAGGCTCAACATTAGACTAGAGAGAAAGAGGACATAAAGTAGAATGCTGTAGAAAAATCTGATTCCATTTTTAGTGTCTGTTTTAAAATGTCCCCCTCTATAACAGAACATATACATATCTAGACTTAAAACCAATGGAAATGTGAAAAATGGCAGTATAAATACAATGTATTTCCCCATATCATAGCTCATATTTACTTCAATTTTTAAGAATTCAGAAACAATGTATTATTTTCCAATACTAATTACTGTTGAAAGGCAGAGCACACATTTCAAAAGTTGAAGACTAACACTGTGCATACTAATTATGACATTAAAAGAGACTGTATCCGTTTTACTTGCAATTGTCTCAAATTCCTCCCAGCATTCATCTGGAATATACTTGGAGTTTCACCTAGTTACTGATGATACTAAAGCCAGGTTTCAGGCCTTTCAACTAGACTACTTTGCCCCTTCAAATATTTTAACAAATCTTAAATTATTTTCACTTTAAAAAGTGGGCCATTTTTGTAATTTTCTAAAATTTTCTATATTTGTATTTAGTGCCCATTGTGACAGTGATTATCACTGACCTGCAGTCTTTTTCTTCCATTTGCTCAAAAGAAAGCCCTAAGTTTTAGCTGGAGATACCCTGCCCAAAAGAGGCCATACCATAACCTCAGAGCCTCCTTCTCAGCAGATGTGTCTGGGGACTCATGTGTGAAACATCCAGGACAAGTTTTTAAAAGCAGTACGTATCCTTTCCACTGCCTTTCCACATTAGACACAGGGAGGCATTGCCTTGGACTATAAGGACTAGGACAATACCCTAAGTGATGGCAGAATAACAAAAGAAGGAACTGCACCCTGAATGAGGCTAGAAAGCAAAGCCTGTTTACCCTAGACTGTTGTGACATGAAAGGGAAACAAACTTACATGTTTTTCTCCCAGTGCATTTACAAGGTATATCTCTTTATTACAGCAGCCTAACACAAACCCTAACAATGGCACTTATTATGTGCTTGGCCCTATTTTTAGTGGAGGGAAGTCTTCTTTGCACAGAAAAGAGCCAAAAAAGGCATGAGTCTTTGGCCCTATAAATCTTATATAGTACCTGGTATATATAATGTATAGGGAAAAAAAAGAACAAACTCTCATAGAAATTTAGTTTTTAATGCACTAGGAGTAAATCAGGATTAACATGGTCTGTTTATAGTGTAGACCAATCTGTTTTAATGTATAATAAAACAACACAATTGGTAATTAAAGATATTAATGATATGTCTGTATTTTCAGTGAAATATTTTCTAAACTAATCTTCTGATATCAAGGACTTTCAGGAAATAAAATATTTATAAGGTCCTAGACAGTTATTTCTGAATTTTGTTTCTCTAATGCCTCCCTCATTTTTTTCTTTCTTTTTTTTTTCTGAGCATTCTAACAATTCTTATGAAACTCAGGGTGAAAAGGTGGAACCTTTATGGATAAAAGCTACTATGTGCATTCTTCAAGAAGGCAGTAAGAAAATAATCATTCCTCTTTCAAGGTGCCTGGACCAAAGTTTTGAAAACCTTTAGCTAGCAAGAAGTCATCAACAGAGTTTATGGACTCCTTGCCATGAAATTTTTCACAGCCCTTTCTCTGTCAGTTGAGTCCTCTTTGTGGATAGGCTCGAAGATAGCGACAGCCTGGATTAAACCAAGAGCAAAAATAAGAATTTTCTATTTGATACATAATATCTATTATAGGGCACAAAATAAAACTTGAAAAAATACTTGAAAAAACTTAAAGAGAATTTTAGGCTAGCATAAGCTATCAACATCACAACTAAGTATTTATGTAAAGTACACTTGCCATATTGTTTAAATATATTCAATGATGCTATAAAAGACACAAAAACAAGTAGAATGGAAGGAATTCAAAAGAAGTGTTAATGTAGACAGCAAGTTAGTTTCTGATATATGAAACTATAGTTAACTACAGATAATGAATAAAGAAGCAGCTTGGGAGACACAGGTAGAATTCATGAGATATTAAATATAATAACTAAACTAACAACCTATAAGATATGCCAAAGATAGATGGACTACACAGAGAGATGATGGAACGACTTGGCATGGTGGCTCAGGCCTGTGATTCCAGTCACATGGGAGACCACAGGTAGGAGAGTAGAGATCTGAGGCCAGCCCTGGGCAAAAAATGCAGGCCCCTACCTGAAAAGTAACTAAAGGAGAAAAGGTCTGGGGGTGTGGCTCAAATCGTAGAGCACCTGCCTGGTAAGTGCAAGGCCCTGAGTTCAAACCCTAATATTGCTAAAAAAGAAAGGAAAATATGATGGTAACCCTATAGAAAGTGATGGAAGGCCCAAGCCATAACCATGAGGCCTCTGGGATGATCGTTATCAACTGCACATTCTGTTTAGGAAACGCAGATAAAAGCTCATATCTGCTTTACAGGCTAACTGGAAAGTTTAAGTGGTTGCCAGGTATACTTGCCCCTAAATCTCTCCCACAAAACAAGTGTGTGCTGTTGGCTCTGGGTACCCTTGTTCAAATCTCAACTCTGGTCCCTGTTACCACATGATAAATAGGAATGCTGATGGAACAGAGAAAGTGTGACAGCATTCATGGGCACTGCACAAGCCACAATCACACAGTGTGGTTTGCTACCTGTGTCTACTGACATCCTCTTTGAGGTATGTTAGCCTATCTTGTCTTACTCCTCTTACTTTTCACTTTGTGCCCAAAATAAACATACACGCACACACACCAGCACACGTGTAATTCAAGCATCTTAATTTGGGCTGTGAATCCTCTGAGATAGCTTGCTTAGTGGTATGTTTGGAGGGTAATATTGCATCAAAACAAGTTCATTTGCAACAATTTAGATCAACAGGGCAAAATACTACCACTGTTAAGAGCACCTGGGTTTAAGTTACTGTTTTTAAGTGCTGCTTGTACTTGGGGAAATGCTTGTCCCAGAGTCTTCGTGTTGTTATTTATAAAACAGAAATAAGAGCTTCCTAAAGGTATAAATGGTAGAATTAAATAAGCTGACTACATGAGGCTCATGGCAAAATTTCTAGCATAACTGGGGTAGAATGCTCTAATCCTGGCTGCAGTGTTAACTTGGTGACTACACAGTTTACAAAAACACAAGGCAGCTGCCTCAAATTTGTTTAGGTGAAAGAAAAAAAAGAAACATTCTTCATGAAAACCCATGAAATACTGACACACTAAACTTAAAATATCAGTGTAGAATTTTCTTCTAGGTCAGATATTAAGCTAGACATACTGGAAAAGTCGTAATAGGTACAAAGTGTATTTTAAAGTTCTAGAACTCCCCTCAGGCAATGCTAGCTATGGCTTAATTGTTCCTTGTGTTGAGAAACTACCTTCCTTACTTAGTTTTGACAGCAAAACAGAAAATTCACATAGTAAGAACACAGACTTACTACCTTATGACTGAATGCTCTTTAGCAAAAGTTGTAAAAACTTGCAATTCAGAACTTATAAGGAAAGCAAATCTTAAAAACATACTGCTTTATGAAAACCCCCAGTTATTTTTACATTTTCATAAAAAACTTAAAAGGATTAAAACAAATTCTTTTAAGAACCTGGCAATACTTTGAAACCATGAAAATTATTTTTGTTGTCATTTTCACATTTTGGCTCCGAAAAAGTAACTTGAACTCAACCAATCATTCTGAACTCTGAATGCATGATACCATGAATTCAAATTTCATCAGTAATGATCAGCATTTACCCCTTTTATTGTCTATAAAATGAAAATGCAAAGGCCAGTGAAACATTAATGAGTAACCTCTTAATACAAAAAAATCCAAAATAAAATAAAAAATAATAAACAGTAACCTCAAGATGAATGAAAAAAGTAACAATTTCAGAATGTACATAAGTTTAAATAACAACAACCCATCGGTAGCTACCCATCAACCTTTGTGGGGGTGGGAGCTGACGACTAGCTGGGACAGTCCTTGTAAGTTTGTTGGATAACAACTAGATTAAGGATAGAAACTGGTACGATAGGCTCTGAAGGCATAAGAGAGCACCCACTCTTCTTTTCTAGAGGAAAAGCACAGGATGATTGTCCTCCAGGTAACATTCATTTCCAAGCTTCTGTGTGCTTTTACTTACTTCAGGGCTCAGGACTGCAGTGCTGTCACTTGGAACATCTTCTTCACATCCTTTGTTATGAAAACTTTCTATTTCATGACCTGCGCTTCCTTCACTTGGGCACTTGTTATATGAGCATCTTGGACTGTTGCTGCAGTGGGAAAATTCACATTTACTGTCCCCAATTTCTGAGGGTGTACATGAGAGATGGGGAGAACCACTGTCATCCTGATATGGTGGTGGCTGCAATTCATCCAGTGGGGGTGTTCTTCTCATTCTCTGAATGCAGTTTCCTGATAATAATTAAGAATCTGGTCACTGTTTCCAATTAGCCCCAACATACAGTACACTCTATAATAACTGTAAATAACTTAAAAACGGGATTAAAATGTTGTGGCAACGTAATTGTTAGGTTTACTAAATGAGTTTTCTTCTTGCCTGGATCAGGTGCAGAAATAAAACAACCTGGTTCCCCACTCCTCTCCTCCTGTGTGATAAGATCAGGAAAAATGAAAGTCATATACTAAGAGAGATCCTGTTATGGACCATAAAATAAGTTTTATTTAGTCTCTCTCTGAAAACAACCCCAGTGGCATATACACATCATCTATTTCCTTCTGATCTGTAGCCTCTCTGGCCAAAGCAACTAAAACATGGTAGGCAAAACAAACACAAAAATCTCATGCATTTTCTTCAGTTGCTAGGATAAACTTATACTGGCATTCATCTCAACAGTGTCAGAATTGCTTTTCTATATCTACTTGGATCTAGAATCTGAAAGTGAGGTACAGTATGAACCAGGCCCAGTCCTCATGTGCTAGGAAGCTGAGTTGCCTCTTCTCTGTTACAAAGGCACCCTCGCCTCTGTGTTCTTCACTTCTAGAAAGCATGCTCTACCTGGTCCATAGTAGGTGTTTCTGCTTCTGGCAGGAAGTGAAACACATTTTTTCCACTCTTAACTGATCCTTTCAATTTTTACCTCAATAATTTATGTCAATGAGACTAAGCATATTTGTGAGCAAGGATGGAGTGGGAGGGGGATATGTTAATAGAGCCCAGTATACAATTTAAAAATAGCTAAGGCTATGTAGATAAATCCTGAATGCAGTATTAAATAATAAATTTAAACACTTCAATTTTTAATGGACTGTGCATCTCCTTTCTCAAAAGGAACCTGATAAAGGTTGTTTGTATTATAATTGTTATGGAGTTCAGTTCAAATACTTCTCTATTCTTCTTAAGATGGATAAACTTTACATTAAAAACTAAAAGCCTCATGGAAAAATTACCATAATGCCTGGCTTAAATAAAAGCTATTAATTTGTATTAATTTAGCATTAATTTACATATTTGATCAGAAGCCCTAATTTTTAATAAGGAAAATTAAGTGTCTTAGTGATTCTAATACACTAGCTTCAAAAAAAGATACAGAGAAAAGATAGTTGAAGCTAAATTGGAAAAGATACACTAAATACAAGTGCAAGCCAAAAAAAACCATGCAGTGCCAGAATATTAAGAGACAAGCTGCTTTAGTCAATTATCTGTCTTAATCCATTTAATGGGGTAGGTAAATGTGTGGCTGGCACAATTAGCAAGCTGACTGAACCCCAGCTACACCCTGGACTTCTCCCATGCAGCATCCCAATTAGGCTATAGCCAATGAGATCTAAACAGAAAATTTCATAGCAGGGCTTCCAGGAAAGCTTTGGTGCTTCTCATAAAAGAAGGAAGACTCAACTGGCATCCCCTTTATCCCTTTGCCTTTCCCCTTTATCCTTCATGAGAGTGCAGCAGCTACCTTGTGACTGTGAAGTAACAAGAACAAGAATGAAAGCTAAGGATGGAGAAGCAGAAAAATGGAAGAAGTCTGGTTATTTGAAACATCACAAAGTAGCTACACATTTTGATAGCCGAGACAAAAAAAAAAAAAACAATCCCAAACAATCTAACAGCTGGATTTTCTATTGTTTCCACATACACCCTCAAATGATACAGCTTATAAATCATTAACATCCTCCTGTAAGATGCATATTTAATCAACCACTGAATTAAACTAAATGGTAATACCTAAATACTTACTGTAGTATGAAGTCAATTAACAATTTCCCAATGTGATTCTACAAGTCAGCAAACTACATTTTCCTTTACCTTTGTTCTGAGCACAGAGGTGATCTTACCCAGAAGTCTTAGCATATTGCTCATAGATCTCATTGGACAGAAGTGAGTCATATGTCTAGTTCCAAACCCATCACTCATAGGACAAATGGATTACCACAATCAATTTAGGGTAATCAGAAGCCATGGAAAACTTGAAGGAATGGATGAGTTTGTTTTACTGATCATATCTATATGGAAAAGAATAGATGCCTGAACAATGCAGGATTTCCAGGAAGGAGGAAGACAAACCTGATCCAATCTTTGCCTTCCTTATCCTTCAATTTGACGATCTGATCTCAGTTTTCATCCTGATTAGAATATTTTTCTCTCTGCGGCTCTTTTTCTCATTAGTTGTTCTACAATAATATTTCTCTCTAAATTTCCTTTTGTTGTGACCAGCACGGTATAATTTCCTTTGATATAATTTGCCTTTTCGTATTAGATCCCTGCCTTGCTGCCAGTCAACTAATACATTTTCATAGCTGAGCTTCAGTTATCTGGCTCTTGTCTAGATTTACTGTGACTCTTGATCCAGTGATTAACACACAAATGACACCAAAGAAGTAGGAGATATTCAAAGATGCCAAGTAGGCTCAATGGGTAGACCTCACTGCTATTTTCTAGATTTGGGAATATTAGAGCTTTGAACTGGAATATATAATTTATTTTGGCCAAAGTTTTAATAATAATAACGCCACACTTTCACTTTACTTTTCTATTTCACTTTTCAAAGTTGAGAACAACCAAATGCATGTGGAATTAAAAATTCATTAAAATATACAGTCACGGGAGAAATGACCTAAACATTGTATGCACATATGAAGAAAAAAATATATACAGTCATAAAAATTTCCCCTTTTTAAACTTTTGCAATAATCTCTATTTATTCAGGTTGACTACTCTGGGCCATCTACACAGTATAATAATAAGAAGTGGCTTAAATTTAACTGATATTGAACAATTTTAAAGATAATTTTGCAAACTGACATGATTTATATTATTTAACTTTAAGAACTTTCTAATACGACTATCAAACACCAAATGATGCACTCTGATTACTTTAGTTCTTGCTTTACTACCTAATTTCACACCTTTATTTTTATGGAAATGATATACTAATAGAAGGATACAGCATAGATACATCCTAAGCATGTTAATTTTCCAACTTCATACTACACAGCACTTAAAGAACAAAATGAAGTGTTTTCTTACCCTAGAAAAACTCGCACGTATACATACACTGAACAGGACCCAGAGCTCTTAACCTTACATTTTAAGATAGTGGTGAGAATGAGAGCTCTAAAAAATAGTGAATATTCAACAACTGCAGAATTAACCTTTAAGTGTATGTGGAAATTTGCCAAAACCGATTATAAGCTGGATAATAAATTAAGGCTCAACACATCTTATAAAATTAGCAGCATAAAGAGAACGTTAACTGACCACATTAACATTCTACATTTTGTGTTTAATTCCACACTATGGAATTAAACTAGAAATCACAAACAAAACATAAGTAGAAAATCTATAGAAAACTAAACAAAAATAAAAATTAATATACTACAAATAACCCATGCATCAAAGAAGAAGTAACAATTGAAAATTCAAAATATACTGAAGAGAATGATTAAAATAATCTGTGTAAATACTTGTGGGATGTGACTAAAGCCAAGGAAGCAAATTTATAGGTCTAAGAGCATATGCCAGGGGAGGGGAGTGATAAACAATGAGGAGCCAAGCATGCACTTCAAGAAGTTAAACAAAAACCACAAACTGAACCTAAAGTAGGAGGGATGAGATAATAAAGAGCAGAAAGATAAATTAAAAATGCATAAATTAGAAAGCATCAGGACACCAAAATACAATTCATTGGAAATGCTAATAAAAGTGAAAAATGACTAGAAGAGACTAGTCAGGAAGAAAAAGATGGCATCAATTATTAATGTCTGGACTAAAACAAGAGGACATTTCAAACCCTATAGACATTCAAAAGACAGTTGAGTTTTCTCCTTGTCTTTCCCACTTTGAAAATTTCAGTCCTAAAGCTACAGGTAGGGCAGAGGAAGGCAAGGGTCGGTGCAGGTGAGAGCAAGGGAAGCTGCAGTGGCCCAGAGCAGCATGTCAGGTCCAAGGAGGATAAACAAAATGTCTATCTGTTGGGAAACCTGGTGTGCTATTTTGGGGTCCAAGTGAGATGAAAAGGGTGTCCCATGTCCATATAGAGAGCTGGGCAGCTCAGCAGTGTCAAAGTCCAAGGGAGATAAGAAGGGCCTTCATTTCAGGGAGTGGACAGAAGTGAAGTATAAGAGCTCAAGTATGACAAGAGGAAAATGGAGCAGCCCTACACAGTGGGCTAAAGCCCAACCAGGGTAAGAAAGGCCCAAAGAGGGAGTCAGAGCCTCTGTACAGTAAACAAGGAGTTCCCTATGTAGGGCAGCCTGGCCCAGGACAACAGATGTCGATAATGTAAGGACCATGTACAGATTGAGGGAAGGGGAGCAACCTGACACAGTCTCAGAAAGGTAAGAGTCGTGAAGCTGGGTGATTGTTGTGGGTTGTGAAAGCCTAGTTAGGGTAAGGAGGCTTACCCTAGAGGGTTACCTGGTGAAGAGTATCAGACTATGGTCAGGGTAAGGTATGCATCTGTGTAGACAGCTGTCCTGACAGGAAACCAGAGACTTGGTAGGTTTGGGAAGGTGTCCAAGGGTGGGGGTAGTCTGGGGTGTTGTGTTAGAGTCCAAATGGGGCAAGGAAGGCAACTCTGCTGGAAAAGGAGTCTTGGACCATGGTGCTAAACTCAAGCAGACGTCAGCTTACATAGGGTGCCAAGAGCATCCAACACAGGATATCAGAGCCCTTGTTCTGAGAGCTCTGGGGACATCCACAAGTGGGAAAGGCAAGTGTGGACTGATCAAACAACGAATGTATTTCAGTTAATGCAGCCAGGTCTCTTGCTGTTAGAGAAGGAATGACAAACATGGAAAGGGAAAAACTAGACCCAACTCTGCGGTGTTAGATTAGAATTAGTTATCAATGTGGGATCACAGTTTTAAAATACCTAAAGTAAATATAGTGTAAACTTACACGTATGCATATGCTTACAAACATGCCAATACATACATGTTCCATGTC